TCAGGGATCCCAGTGAGGGGGGATGACCTGGTCCCTGCTCAGAAAAATGGAGGCAAAGAAACAGTTAAATAGGTTAGCTTTGTCATCTGGTGAGACCACCAGATTTCCTAGTGTGTCCTGCATAGGTCCTACGTTACCCGGTACCTTCTTTTTACCCCCTATGTATTTAAAAAAGGATTTCTTGTTATCCTTGATCCGGGTCGCTAGTCCCAGTTCCATCTCCGCCTTGGCCTTCCTAACAGCCCCCCTACAATCCTGAACAATGGAGGTATAGTTCTCCCTGGTGATGGCCCCTCCCTTCCATTGGGTGTATGCTTCTTTTTTAGCTTTGAGACATTCCTGTATGCTTTTGGTGAGCCATGGGGGCTTTTGAGTACTCTTGTCCCCTTTGATCCGTATTGGGATTGCCACCCTTTGGGCTTGGAGGATCGTCTCCTTCAGGAACGACCACTCTTCTTGGACTCCCAAGTCCCCAACCCTCCGGGACCTCAGTGCCTCCCCGACTAGTTTCCTTAGCTCACTGAAGTCCACCCTCCTGAAGTCCAGGGCTGCTGCCTTGCTGCAGGCCTTTGACACCCTGCGCTGGATGGTGAATTCCAATAAGCAATGATCATTGTTGCCCAGGTGATCAAGCACCTGCAGTCCCCTCACCAGGTCGTTGCTTGTGGCCAGGACCAGGTCTAACAAGGCTTTTCACCTGCTGGGACTGTGCACCTCCTGGGTTAGATGGAGGTCCTGTAACTTGACTAGGAACTTACGTGAGCGGTCAGTCCTGGCTGACTGCTCTTCCCAGCAAATGTCGGGATAGCTTAGGTCACCTATGATGACCACATCCTTTGACTTAACTGCCTCTGCGAGCTGACCTGAGAATTCCTGGTCTAGCTCTTCTCCCTGGTTGGGTGGTCTGTAGAAGACCTCCACTGTTAAGTCCCTTTTCCCCGACCCCCTTGTATTCTGACCCAGAGCACTTCAGTCTGCCCCTCCTCTGATCCAGTGCTGCTCGTTGAGGATGTTAACTGCTCTTTGACATAGAGTGCCACACTCCTGTCTTTCCTCCCTGTTCTACCCCTCCTATACAGCCTATAGCCCTTGATGTTCACCACCCAGTCGTGTGTTAGATCCCACCACATTTCAGTGAGCCCCGCTATGTCTGGGTTTGAGTTAGCTAGCAGGAGGGCAAGTTCGTCCTGCTTGTTCCCTGTACTACGAGGATTAGTGTATAGGCATTTAAGGCCTCCTGAAGGTGTACGCACCGCCCCCCTAATCCCAGGATTATCCGGGCCCCTGCCTCTTACCTGGGTATTTCTTGTACTCGTTGTCAGTCTTGGCTGGGCTGTCTTGTGGGCGACACTTGGTTTGGTGTTCCGAGGCTCCCCCCGACCTCATCCTCCCCTGTAGGGTTGTCTTCACCTCAGACTACAAGTCAACCACCCTCTTGCCCTACCTTTACAGACGTTCAACAAGCTCATATGTTGTACGTTGTATTCCAACCTTCCTTCACAACTTTAATACCTCATAATTGATTCTCTGGTATGGTCTTTTCCACCACACTGCAGCCCAACAATCCCTGGCCTCCTTTCCCCATTGCAGTATCTTATCTATACTGCAGCTCTCAAGTCTCTTCTTGGCTTCCTTCTTCTCTAACCCTAAAAGGATAGTCCTAGATGTTTGTAGAACCACAGACTAAAATGATCAGCCACCCCAGCACCTGAACAGTGTGGAAAAGGGGACTGTTGTAGGATGATTTAACTCTGAGCGTGTGAGCAAGACACTTGAAAGCATTCGCAGTATTATTAGGAGTGCTAGTTCCCCTGGTATCCCATCCCTAGTTGTGGTTAATTTCTGATGTTTCAGAGGAAGGTTTAGGGGGAAAAAAGCTAAGAGCCAGGTTATAGCTCCAAGGAGGAAAAATCCTTCTGGGCCCTGCCGGTGATTGGTAGAAGCCCTGAATCATGAGATTAATTGATTAAATACAGTTTTAAATAATACAGTGAAAATATGGTGCAAAGCTTTGTAAATATTAAAACTCAGGAGTGGGTGATCAAGGGAGAGAGAACTAATCCAGACCGGGATGTGAGATCTTACATAACTGTAGAGCAAGGTCAGTGTTTTCAAAAATGGGTCCCAACAGGTCTCAAAATTGTAGTTGGGACCTGAGTTTTAAAAGCATTAAACACAAATCAGTTTTCATTGACTTTTGAATTCTACATATGCATCTTAAAAATGATATTATATAAATTAGATGCATAAACCAAAATTGTTTTTTTAAATCCTGCCATGAATTTAGGGTCCTGTCTTGTCTCTCTCAGGGATTGATATCATAGTTACCTAAGCAGAATAAGGACTGACCCTCTGTATTCTGCTTTCAGGATCTATTAATGTGATAACAACACCTACCCACTTTTTCAATGTTGAGTAATCATCTTTTGATGAGGGAAGGACTAATGCATGTGCTTGCATGTTAGGATTAGAGACTGACTGAACATATAACCCTAGGGTGTGCTGATAATTGCAGAAGAAATTGCTAATAATTCTCTATTGCTTGATTCATTATATTAATAGTGAGTCTATCTTGATACTGCATAAATACATGTAATCATTATAAAGTGTTTACTATTATATTGCACTTATCTGGATATATAAAAATCAATACAAAATTAAAAAAATGGAACTAGAGCAGGCCTGTTAGGTTGCATCTAGTTCATGCCTGTATTGGCCAGAGGGCTTCCTTCTACACTTACAGTGCTTCAGTGCTTTGTCTGGTTTCATTTCACTGTCTGAAACAGTGGTACATTCAGCATTTCCTTGGGAGACTGTCAGAATCTTTCATCTGTTACATTTCCTTCTTGCCCAGGCTAAAATTTCCTCTGCAGAATTGTGTCTTGTTACTCCTAATGTGTACCCCATTTGACCACTCCAAAATAATTCTACTCCATGTTGAGTATTTACTTCAAAACAGACAATTTTCCTGTAGTCACCAGTTGGTCATGCTGGTGATATTATATATTTAGTCCTTTAATTTTTTCTCCCATAAATACTCCTGCTGATCATTTTTGTTACATTTCTCAATTTGATTTTTTTTTTCCTGGTCTGTCAGTATCTTAACTGGTAGTGTAATTTTCATACCTGAATGTAGTTTCTAGGCTGTGGTCCACCAAAGGCTTACAAGAGCAGGAGCACAGCTGCCTTGCTTTTCAAGTTTGTCTGCAAATGCATTACACCATAAGATCCTATTTGTTTTGCTGCCCATTATCATTCTGAAGTCTCTGTTAGTACTACTGTTTCAAAGTTTCTCTCTCCCATTAGAGTTGCATTTTGGATTGTTTCTTACTCATGGCAATAATTAGCGTTATTTCCCAGTAAAAGCCAATTTTGTTTTTCTGTCTATCTTCCTTTTCATATTTCCTCCTTGATATGATTGGTTTTTGTGGTTCTTCCCAGTTCAGTGCTGTTTTCAGACGTCATTGACGTACTGTTTGCTTCCTCTCCTAGAATTTTGCTTACATTGAATTATGCTGGACCTCACACATGTCCTTGTGGCTTTCCACCAGACTTCTCCCCCACTGTTTGGTGTGATGTATCTTTTTTCTTTAATCATTTTCTCTTACTCTAGGTTTTTTTGAAAAGCCCATGTGATATATTTTAGCTATTTTGTAGTTATTTGGGGCATGACATTTTGAGAGAGAATTTCAAATGCGTTTTAAGAACCCAAATACAAAATTTCTTCTGCCTGCCCTTCTTCCTAATTTTAAACCTAACAAGCTATTAAAACAAAAAAGTTTGTTTTATCCTCACCCAGAACTTAGAGACACTGGGTGCATCTACACATGCACTTTAATGCATGTTAGTCTATTTTAATGTGCATTAAAGTATCACTGAAAGTGTGCCATTTAGTTATGTGCATTAAAATAGGCAAATGCTTATTAAGCGTCACTAAATAACCATGCTCTTTAGTTATTGCACATTAAGACAGGCTAATGTACAATTTCATAGTACCTCACAATGGAGGACACATCTACATGTGCGCTTTAATGCTCAGTAGCCTATTTTAATGCACATTAAAGCGTCACAAAAACATGCTTTTTATTTAATGCACATTAAAAGAGGCTAATGCGCATTAAGTGTTACTTAAAAAGCATTCGCTTTAGTTAATGCGCATTAAGCCAGGCTAATGCACATTTTCCTAATACCTCACAGTAGAGGGCATTTTTACACATGCTCCAGGGTGTTGGGAGGAGCACTTTAACTAGAGCTGCTCTGAGAGCTGCTCTAATTAAAATGCTGCCGTGTCTCGTGTATCAGCATTCGCAGACTTAAAAAAGGCAGCAGGAGCACTTGAACTAAAGCTGGTCAAATAAGCTTTAGTTCAAGTGCCCCCACTGCCATTTTTAAACCTGGGGACACTGGTGCATGAGATGCAGGAGGCTGCTGGAGCGCAATAGTTGCTATGCTTCAGCAGACTCAGTTAATTGAGTCTACTCCGACATGTTGGAATTCCAGCACATCAGAGCAGCCTCTGTATTTGTGTATAGGTGCCTGGAGGTATTAGATTTAATGCACATTAACTACAGTGCATTAATACATGTGTAGACAAGGCCACCGGGTGTTACATACCACTTGTCCAGCTCTAACATGGGCATCTGGGAAGTGATGAAGACATGCTGTTAAGATGGGTAACTTCACATTCAGACCTCACTTGCTGACTGCAGACTTCATATAATTTCTTAAATTATGATTGAAAAATTTGGGATTTTTTTGTTTATAAAATTACAAATAGACCATGCTGCTTCCCCATATTGGCTGCACTGCAACATTCAATAAGACTTTTGAGGTCAAAACATTTGCGGCTGCTGTGCATGTGCTGCACAGAAAGACAACAGGGAGCATGTTGTGAGCCAACATGTTAGCTCCCCATTGTTCAATGAACCTGTTATGTGGGTTTGATATTGCTGTCTCTGGTCAAGCTTGTTTGTTAACCTGGTTGTGCCCCATTGTTTCAGGACAGCAAGCACCGGCCTGTCTTTGTACTATGATAAAGTCAGCTTCAGTCATTATGTTGCAGCAGGAGGTGAGATTACCTAATTTTCATATTCTGTTTGGTTTATGAGTGCAACCTGTGATTACAGCAGACCACTGGGAGTCAGGGCTCTAGGTTCCATTTCCTATCCTACTACTGACTCACTTTGTAACCTTGCTTAATTATTATTTAACTTTACCATGCCTCTGTAATATAGGGGCAGTGACATTTTCCTAACCCACTGGGGAGTTGTGGGCCTCAGTTAATTTTTGGAAACTTGATGTATTTCTTTAGTGAAAAATGCTTGGGGAGTTTGTTTCAAGGATTCACGCATAACTCATTTTTGAAACCAAAATGAAAAATGAGCATTAGAACTCCAGTCATGTGTGGGTAATACCGCCTTCCTTCTCTTCATTGCCACCTAATACTGCTGCTTACAATGTTTGCTCTAAGCAACATATCTAAAGGATCCTGCTTTGTATCTTTACACAAGCCTTTCTAGTTGGACACATTTTTATTCCTCACTTTAAACTGTTAGATAGTGTTATTAGTTGCTGTTGAACAAATTGTGTGGTGTACCCTAGGGAAGGTCTGTTGCAGAGGTGGGTGGACCTGAGGGTTCTTGTATTTAATTCTTAGAGCTTTTTGGGAGTCTTTCAGAACAGTGGAGAATCTTGTATTATGTTTAGTACCATAGAAATTACAGATTTTTTCTTTTAAAAAAAGCAAACATTTTAGTTTGGCCCCATCCTAGTCCATAGTGGAAGTATGGCAGCGGGAGCCCAGCTGCTTTTCAGTCTTGCCTGAGTTGATTTGGCCCTTTACATTGATTGAACCATTGCTGGCCTTAGCTTTGACAAGTATTTGTGTATCTTAGCCCTTACAGGAGGCCTGTTCAGAATTCATGTGGGCCTGCGTGGCCTTGCAGTGGGCAGCATCTTTGGGGCACTGTTAAGGTAAGTTACACACGTGGCATATTTATGACCAAAGTCAGAATTACATACTTTAGCTGGTGTGTGTTGATGACCTCACAAACCAAACCTTGAATCATAGAAGTGGCTACAGAAAACTGCTCACCCTAACCCCTGCTGGACTTGTTGATCCCTTCTGGGATTATAATTTCTTTCTCGGTCTCCCCGTCCGTTTTTGGTTTTTTTACCCTGTGCTTTACACATCATTTTCTTAGCAGTGGCTGAATAAGTGTAGATTCCTTGCTTGGACCTTTTCAATTACTACTGTTTTAATGGTATTAAAACAGGAAAGCAATTATACTTGCATCTGTAGTTTTGTAATCATGACCATCCCATTTTATGCTCCCGTCTGCATCTCAGAATAGTTGGCCAGAATTGAAAGATGAAGCATGTACTTAAGGAGTTGTGTTGATTGATGTCAAGAGCTGGAGATGAACTAGGAATCCTGGCTTCCTTCTCAGCTTCAGCATTGGCTCCCCATGTAGCTAGTTGGTTGAGTCACTGAGGGGTAGGTCCACAAAAGGCATTGCAGTGCTCTGAGCAGTGCATGGCTAATTTCTAGGCAGTAAGGGGAAAATAGAATCCTTGGCCTCAAGTTATGTACTCTGAGGGATCCTGGCTGCATAAAATACATGCACCTAAACGTGGCATCCACAAAAGCCGGCACACTGAACCAGCAGCTGTCTAAGCTTGCTGTTAGGAAGTGCTGAGGGAGAGGGATGTGTCTTCAGAGCTATTCCACTCAAGGACTTAGAGACTTGCACTGTGTGGAGGCATCTGTCTCTGCTCAAGAGTCACAACCAGGAATGAGACTAGCAGGTGTTGGAGTAGGAGGTCATGATTGTGTCTCTGCCTATATTTCATAGCTGGGTAGTAGGAGCTCTTTCCCAATATTCTGTTCCTTTCTCTGCATGATTGCATTCCAGCCTGCTGCCCGTTTCCCCAGGTTCCAGGGTATGGGGTGTTCTGAGGAGGGCTTTTCTCATCCCTCCTTTTAAAGCTGATACATTTTAAAGGAACTATTCATTGGGCCAGAAAGAAATGGTGAGTGTGTTTTCAGGGCACTCATCTAGTGTTTCCTTCCTTATATCCACTGGCTCTTTGTTGCAGTCCAGTCCTGGGGTGTACTCAGAGAATGCTTTTTAGATAGGACCTTGCAGGATGGAAAGGTGGAGGAGTACCTGCCTTGGGGACACTGGCAGGACATAGGCATGAGCAAATGCCCCCTGCTCAGCACTGTTGAGACAGGGAGCTCTGGGTCTGCCCAGAACCAAATGCATCAGGAGCTTGACTGAAAAAAAACAAGGCACCTCCATAGTTAGAGGGAAATTAACGGGCATGGGGGGTGGTAGAGGGTTTGAGGATCTAAATTTTGGGCGTAAATACCTATGGGGCAGTTAGGTGGCAGGTCAGGTATCGAAGTCCTTTTGTGCATTCAGCCTGTAGCTTCTCTTCACCTGTTTCCTTAATTGTAAAATATTGATAATGTTGACCTACCTTGCTCAGTGATGAATCTTAGTGAGTGTCCGCAAAGCACTGCAGATGAAAAGGAAGGCTCTGTGTTCCTTGAGCTTCGTTGGGTAGCTGTTACTAGAGAGGAAATGGCTTAGACAACAAACTGGTATGAACATTAATGGTGATTATGCATCACTGATCAATGACTGGCCCCCGCACGCCTCTTTATCTGTTGCCAGTAAGCTGCTTCTATTTGTGTACTCTCGATGGCTTGCTTGTAGCTTCCTCTGTCTCCTCTGCATCATAGCATCCCTGCAGGAGGACTAATGGTCGGAATGCAGAAGCTGTCTCCAGAAACCATGGTGGAAAGACGGAAGAGGAAGCAAAGGGAGCTGTATGAGCAGAAGGCAGCAGAGTGGTAAGGAACAGTGCAGTCTTTTATCTTGGTGAATTTGTATCACTCACCAGAAGTGGATCTTGTCCTATAGGTCCAACTTTTTCATTTGTCAGGCTGATTCTCACAAAGCAGTTTGCTAATGGGCTATCTCCTTTCCCAACCCCAGCTCCCCCCATTGGCTTCTCAGTGTTTTATATACCCCTGTGATTTTTATCCAGTGCTAGTCAGTGCTGCAGTTTATCATCTGCCAGTATATGTGTTTGAATTTGTAGCAGGATTGGTCCTTACAATGGTATTTTGCAACTTTGTCTTGAAGCAGTGATATTTTCACTGCTGTCTCACCAGAAAGCTGCTCCACTAATACCATAATCAGGACCTGCTTTTCCAAATCCACGTAATTTTTCTTCTGTTCAGTTTCAACTGTTTGCTCCCAGTTATACCATAGTCTTGATCATACAGTCAATTGCAGCCTGGAGAAAGAGCGAGTTAAAACATGAACCTAGCTATTTTCCCTGATGCTGATGGAATGACTCATTAAAACTGGCAATTGGTGCCAAAACCAAAAGGCTAGCTGGAATTTTGTTGGGGTAGGAGTGTTTCTTCAATTTGCAGCAGACGCAGGTATTCGGACTACAACACTATAAATTGTACTCATAGTGTCTTCTTTCTGTCCTTAAGGAAAGCCAGGCTTAATTCAGTGGAAATTGCCTTGGAAGAAATGGAAAGGGATAATGAGAGAGGCATGGAGGAAGATGCCAAGAGGATTCAACAATTGCTTAATCTGCCTGAGAACTCTCTGCCATCAGAAGATAAGAATTAATTCAATTCTGGATGTAGACCTCTGACATCTTCACTGAAAGGCTGGCATGAATCAGTGTGTCCCTTCTGCTTTTGACAGCCACAAATGATGACCATGAATCTTGGCACAGAGAATGTTAGAGAGCCTGGGGAAATAGAAACGCCAGCTCCCAATGATGGCTAATGTACACAACTGGGAGAGGAGTAGGACAATATGAGGGCATATTGTCCCACCCCCACCTGGAGCAGCGCAGCAGGGGCAAGAGTGGGATGGGGAGCCACTGCTGGAGGTGAGGGGAGCTAAGCAGCACTCAGCTGGCTGCAGCCACGCCAGGAACAGTCCCAACAGAAGCTGAATGTGCTGGCAAGGCCAGGGCTGGTGGAACTTCCTGCTTCCCATGCCTCCAGCTGCGGCTCCTGCTCCTGCTTCTGCTGTGCTGCTCCATGCGGGCAAGTGGGAAGAAAGCTTCAGCCGGGTGGCTCCTGCCCCAGTGTGTGGGGCTCTGACTCCAGCTTCCATCTGTTCCACCCACCCACCGGTGGCTGCTCCTCACCAGGGATCCTGCTTTTCTCTGATTTAAAAAAAAAATCCCCAATTTTTGGTTTAACCCCCACGCCATGCACATTTTTCCATGATTAAAATGAAACACTATTATATATATATGTATCTATATATTAGTGATGTTTCATTTTAATCATGGAAAAATGTGGATTTTTTTTTTTAATTCCTAATATTTGGTTTAAATCGGAGAAAACCAGGATCCCTGCTTATCATGCTGGGTGGGCAGAGTGGGTGGTAGGCAGCCAGGAACTGGAGCAGTGCAGTAGGAGCAGTAGCTGCAGCTGTAGCTGGAAACAAAGGGAGCAGAACAGCCCCACTGGCCCAGGCCCCAGCCAGCGCACAGCTTCTGGTGGGGCTGTTCCCAGTGCAGTTGTAGCCAGCCAGGTGCTGCTCTGCTCCCCCTCCCTCCAGTGATGGCTTCTCCCACTCCTGCCCACACTGTGGCCAGGTGGGGGGAGAAGCTTCAGCCTGGCAGCTCCTGCTGAGATGAGGGGAGCAGAGAAGCACCTGGCCAGCTGCAGCCACACCAGGAACAACCCCACCTGAAGCCGCACACTGGCCAGGGCCTGGGTCAGGGTTGGCGGGTGTGGGCAGGAGCTCGGCATGGGCTGCCCTAGGTGGGGGACAGCCCCATGCAGAGCTCCACAGGGCCAACCACACACTGAGCAAGTACTGCTGCACACACCCTGCACCACTCCTGCCCCACAGTGTAGGGCATGCACAGAGCAGATCATGTGCATCCTGCTCCTGAGCACTCCTCCCTGCCCAGCCAAAGCCCCATAGGGACTTTTGGTGAGTTGCGGGGGGGAGGTGAGTGTTGACCTGGCCCGTGACAGCTCATCAAAACTCCCTGTGTGGCCCTTCAGCCCAAATAATTGCCCACCCCTGTGCTAATCCCTTCAACACATCTTAGCCTTGTTCTGGTGGGACCAATGCTGTGGGTTGAAGAAGTCTGCTGAGTGGGTCTGGTCAGGCTGCTCACAGTAATAGAGACTTGGCTGTGATCATGATTGGAGTATGTTACAACTGAGGCTGAGGGAGGGAATCAGGCTTTCTGGAGAGGACAGGCTTTGGGATTCTCACATAAAGAACATCCTTCTGGAGGGGGTCCTACAGCAAGGATGATGCTTCTGTTGGCTGGAGGGATTGGCATTATGGGGCAAAGATACTCCCTAACTAAGTTACAAATCATGTTATCATCCTGAAGGAAAGACTGAGAGTGTTGTTTAGACAAAAAAAAAATTAAATAATATTGTGTAGACCTTGTCTTCTAGGATTGTCTCTTGCTCTGCCCATGTGGTATTAGTTCTGGCGAAAAGGTATGAGCCATAGCTCATGAGTGAGGTTCATCAAAGCTCATCAGTAGGGGTGTGGGCAGTCAAGTCTCACAGCCCCATTCAGATTTTACTATAATTCAGTAACAAGAAGCCCGAGTAAGTGCAAACCTCATTTCTCACTGGTATGATCCAATGGCAGTCTGGTAGCACTATGAAATGAACATTTGGACTGGATTTGAATTAATAATGACCTGTAGCTGTAAGAATTACGTCTTCCTTCACCATTTTGTGCTAGGCAGAAGGGTTGTAAGTGCAAGTCCCCATTCTGTTTAACTGGAGTAAAATACCCAACAAGGTTGAAATCAGGAGCAAGCTCTTCTCTGCCTCTGGCACTTAATGCTCCCTGACCCTGGAATGATTTTATGGCTCCATTTACAAAAGTTCAGCCAGTTGTCTATTATCGCTAAGTTATGCCCAAATATTATTCCTTCCCCAGGGTGGTTGGTAACAGCTGCACAGCTCCTTTAGCAGAGCATATCCCATGCACCCAAGCCAGATTTTTGGACACATTGCCTCATTTTTAATAAGCGCCTACTTTTCATATTTTCCAGAAGGAGCATTTTGTTTGTTAAACATGGTACTGCAGAAGGAGACAAATGCATTTTTTGGTTGGGCTTTGTTTTTCTTCTCCCCCTGCTCTACCACAGAGGGAGAAATGTGTATTGCTTTGGTGCAGCTTAATTCTCAGCCCTTGCCCCCCTCCCAGTTTAAACTCCCCAGTGCAGCCAACACGTCCTTCCAGCCAAAGAAGTGTAGGCCCTTGCTAAGATTACTTTTAGTCATTGACTAGCTTTCTTTTTTCCCATGCCCACCTATGGTTTTGCTGGTGCCTGCCTACCAAACATCCCACACCCCCACAGCTTGCTTTTTTGTGGTGACAGAGCAGCATGTACCTCAGTCTCATTATGCCTCTTCCTCTTTTCAGTTACCTTTGTGCAATGACTAAGATTGATGCTCATTTTCCTGTGTGTGTGTGGCCTCTTGCATGGTGACACACTTTCTGAGAAAATAATTGGAGCTTACCTCCCATTTTCCATTGATATATTTTGCCCTTGTCCCCCCTTCGTTCAGGGTGGTGAGAATCAAATGCCTGGCCATACTGTGCCTTAGCGTTGTCAAGTTCCCATATTAGCAGTTGGTCTGTCGGTGTTTAGAAACAGAATCACCCTTCTTGCTGGGTTTCCTGTAAAGTCAGCATTTCTATGTAGTTCCTTTTTTCTTCTAACAAAGCCATTGACTAGAATGGGAAGAGAAAAGCTGGCTCTGAACTTGCATCTTCTTTTCAAATAAGTTATTCCTGTTGGCAAAAGATGGGATGTTGCACAGCTGAAGACTAGCTCTTCACTTACATGGCTAATACAGTGGCAGGAGAACAGCACAAGCGCATGTGTGCTGCAGCTCCATGTTGTGTGAAGGACTCCACTTCTGTGGTTAGAAGGAAGATTAACTGCAAGCTGTTCTGGCCCCTGCTGAGGCTGCTCCAGGAGCACCAGCTAATGTTGGTGGAATGGTCTCTGTGCCCTTCAGCTTGGCCAATCCACTCAACTTGCTACTGAGGGTGTTGCTGAGTGGATGTTGGTTCTTGCTATGTGACATTTGTTAACCTAAGACCAGTCCTTTTGGCAGAGTTAGCCCTATACCCTCCCTGAGTCCCACTCTGATCCCCTGCCCCTGCACAATCTGCTGCTCTGCTTTCTGCTCCTTGCCCTATCTGCCAGTGTGCTGTTGCATGTCACCTCCTCAGTCTGTCACATACCATACACAGAGGCTGCCCATGCCATTCATGGCATGTATGCCACATGTTGGCCACCCCTGACTTAAGGGATGCTGCAACCTTTGACTCCAGTTGCTGTTGGTACTTGCAGGATTGGGGCTTCAGCCTCGGCACTCCCTGGGTATTCCAGTGTAATTTTCAAGCAACCAGTGAGAAGTTACCTGAGGCCAGTCTAGCTCATGATGGGCACCTCATATTACAGCTTGATGTGACCTACACTACTTACACCGTTGTAGCAGATACAACGGCATAGCTCTAAGCTGTTGGAGGAGTAAGTAACAGGACAAAAGACATCACTTCCCAGCATGTAGAGCATGTGTTTTTTATTATTAAGAGGAAGAAACTAATTGTACAGTTTACTCTTAATACAATTAATATCTTATCAAAAATTAAGATGTGAAAGGTTCAGGCACAAAACAAGCTGAAAAGGTCTCATGGAAACCACTTGTTTGCAATTCACTGAAAACAGCGTGAGACAATAGAAAACATGGATCATGTTTTACAAGAAAAATAATCAAACCTTAAGTCTATTACAACTCTGTCAGTACAAAATTCCGTATCAGTCAGGAGTTACTGTACTTCACAATCCTACAGGCCTGTGGCGATTTTACAGAAGAGATCACTATACAGAAGACAAGCCCTCCCCTCAGAGACCTTTTGTTAGGATCACAGATCAAGCATGGAACAGCCTGAGGAAGAAGGTTGTATGGGAGCCTATCCATACTTGCTTTAATGGGCTGCATCATGGAACAAGATGTTCTGGAGGAGAGCAGGCTCAAAGTGTGGGGCAATGCACAGAGTGGTATGAAAGCAGGCACGAAGATACAAGTTGACAAGCAGGTATAGAAGTGAAAAGGTAGATGTTTAGCAATGGCAGGCGCCTGCCTGCCACCTATGGAAGTCAAGAGCAGCAGGGAGCTAGGAAGTAAATAAAGAATAAGGGAACCCATTTCACCCACCCACCCTGCACCAACTCTTTGAGATGCCATTGTATAAAGCTGTCCCTAGTCACAATGGTGCCTTATTTGGCACTCTGAGGTACGCTGGCTGTGGCTGTGGCATGGCACAAGAGTAACCTATCTGGTCAGCCAGTGAGTATAAGTGCTTCACTGCACTGGTGTTTGGTCAAAACCTGTGCAGTGCTTGGGTACCATCTCCTTTCCAGCAGCAGCAGTTTGTGGCCTAACAGCCACTCTCAGTGCAGTCTCTTCCTTAAAGTCTCCACTTGGAATATTGAGCAGCTCCAAACTTAGGACACCAAGGGGAAGGAGTAGAAGTAGCTAAACGAGCAGCTTGGTTGGTGGTAGAGGGGGGCCATGCAGAATTGCCATACCTTAATTTTTCACTCCCCTCAGATTTGGCACGTATACCACAAGTAGCATAGTCAGTCTTTCTATGTGGCAGATCAGGGCGGGGACAGGGAGCACAGCAACAGATAAGGCAGAAAGAGCAACAGATCTGACAGGAAGCAGATTGGGTAGGGAGCACAGAGCTGGGGATAGAAAACAGAGCAGCAAATTAGGCAGGGGAAGGGGGTTTGAGTAGCACTCAGGAAGGATGCAGGGCTAAGTTTGTGGCATACCTGCCAAAAAGGTTGGTCTCCCACTGCTCTATTATACCCCACCTTTGTTTTTATCCTTGTTCCCTCCACTAATTTCTCTCGCATCCACCTTTTATCAGGAAAGAAAGGGATTTGGAACATTTAATCGTTGCACCTCTGCTGTACACTTGCTGGCAGGTGCCCGCATATAGCTGCCTGGGATCCAAGCAACCCAAGTGGTGCTTTTGGCAACCCTTCTCCCAGCTGGCATCCATTTTACTGACCTTCAGCTCCTGGCTAAAGCTTACCCATGGCTGCAGAATATGTTGGGTGAAGCTATAACATAGAATTAACAGCAGAGCAAAGAAAGACCATGGACAAGCTGGGGCCAAATGAAGTTAGTTCCATTGTGCAAGAAATCTCTTAGGTTCTGGTTTTCCCTTTAAAATGAGAAATGTCTCTTTCCTACACAGTAGGGAATAAAATCAGACAGACAGGATGTGGGTAGGTCCTATCCAGTGCTAGAGTCCAGCGAGGTTTGACCATGCTTCAGCTTCTGACTCAATATAGGGGGGCAAAGACCATGAGAACCATTTCATTCCAAGCAAGGGAAGTCCTATACTGCTCATCTCCCTATGGGAGACCAATAGAAACCCTTCTTCCCTGGCACTGTGGAGAACCTGTTGTAACAAGGGCCACTGCATTTTTATTGATAGCTGACCTCCCCCAGCACTAGAGGGCAACAGCCTGAGTTTTTAAAGCTAAACATTATGAATCTTATGTTGACAATCTTACATTGCCTCATGTTACATTCCTGTGGGTTACCTGTGGAGTGATGTGATCGTGCATGTGCACAGGACACCAGAACAAGTGCTGATGGGAAATGCGTGGAACAAGGCAGTTGTCTGCAAATCCAGTCGCACCCAGTGGGCTGGGACATGTCAGGCATGCCCCTGAGTATCTGGGCTCTCCTTTGTATGAGCTAAAGGACATGCATGTTGGCTCACTGGTTGGAGGAGCCTGTCTGTTGAGTGAAAAGTTCACAAGCGCTGCAAAGTAGGTGTGTTTGTTAGCTGGCTGGTGACTGTGCTGTCAGCATATGCATAATGTTCCAGTCTGCATTAAGTTATGGTTACTGAAATAAGCATATTTTTTTCCCATCTCTGCTTTGCTCTTTCCTAAGTAGGAGCTGAACTTTGCTTCCTTGTTCGAGAAAGAGCACCCAAGTCCTCCAATACATCTGCAGTCACAAATCGTAGCCCGATAATTGCACTAGCAAAGTGTCAGAACCCAACGGGCCAGGCATGAATGGAGCAGACAATAGCTACCTGCGGCTGTACCACAGAGGCCCAACCTGTGCTTGGAGACTGCATGTTGGAATCTAGTTTCCAAAGGCCCAGTGCCTTCTCACTAAAGGAGTGAGGTTGATGTGGCAAACCTCCGTCCTCACCTTAACCCCAGAGGCAGCAAAGCCAAGCATCCCAAGCTATGAGGAAGCAGGTGGCATTTTGGAGCATCAGGATGCTGCTGAAGTTTCTTCTTGCGGCTCACCAAGGAAACAGAGCTTTCCTCAGGGTGGGGTTGCAGAGGCAGGGTCCTGGCGTGTTACCCTCCTATTGCTCCTGTAGGGGGCTTTTTATTCACAAAAGACATCTTCCCCGTCCATTTGAGTAGATTTTACCTTCTACTCTGTCCTCCTCTTGAAGAGTCAAAGGATCTATGGAATAAGCACCAGTCATGGAGGACAATGAGAATGCAGTGCAGGGCACCGAGGATAAGAGACCTGAAGAGACACAAAGGGTAGGGTTCAGTTTTAACTCTTAAATATATACAACAATGTAAGACCCAATAGGATCTGCCTGCAGACCATGTGATAGTTCCTACTTCCAGGAGCAATAATGAAAGAGAAGAGCTGTGTGCAGGCCTCAATAAGCACCATATTTTGGGTTAGAATCTGGGTCAGTGTTTGGTTCTGGTTATATTTTGTGGGGTGCATGGAAAGAGATTTCCTTCTAGGCAAGCCGAGCTATTTAACATACAAAGGGCTGTGGCTCGTGCCTCACAGCCACACAGGGCAGAGAGAACTGCCTTGGGTTCAGCCGCAGCAGTAGATGATCTTGGGACTTCTGACAAAGCCACTCCCTGCTCCACCCACCAGACAGCAACCATTCCATGCAGTGGGACTGGGAATCACCAAGCCATTATAAAAAAAGCCAAGGGGACGTTATAAGAAAGAGGAATATGGTGGAATGGATTTATTCAGCTGGTGAACTCCCACTGTCGAACAGTGCTGACAAAACTCCCCCAAATTCATGCTAAATAAGGCTTTAGTATCTGTTCCAGGCAGGGCCTTCCCCATAGGGCAGCATGAGTGGGTGGTAGGTTTGGAAATGAGAAAAGTAGATAATACAGTAGTTTTCCCCTTCTCTCATTCTCGAAAGTATCTCCAAGCCTTTCAGTTACCAGAACCACAAGTACGAGCCCAGTGACAAATCCATGATGCCATGGGGCTTCCTTGCTTTAGTGTGCAGGACACCCAGGCTGTTCAGAGCTCTGTGCTGACAGCAGGACTTGAACCCTGATCCACCTGCTCTAAAACAGTAGTCACAGTAATAGTGAGCACTTAATGCACAGGCCCCACTGCCTCAACCCAAAGGAAAACCTATTTGGGATACAGGACCTAAGACAATGGTGAGCACTTCCAGCCCCATCCAAGAGGGTCAGTTGTACACACAGGAGTATAACAGTGTCTTGGAAGCAACATATTAGACACATTTAGTTCTGAGCCTTGATAGCATTTACCGTTCTCTCTTTTGACTGTCTGCTTATGAGCCAGAAACCTTGGGGGAAGAGTCAGCTCTAACTCAAGTCCTAAATCAACAGTATAGAGGGGGCCCTAGGGGCCACAAAACTGACTGCAGAAAGTGCTGCTGGGAATCTTTCTTTCTCCAAAATCCAACACAGAAGTACAAGGGCATCATCCCAACTTGAGAGCCCCACTTTGACCCAGCCTCTTCCCAAGCACCTTTGACTTGATCCCATGAAGTATCAGAAAAATATGTTGCATTTTGAAAACGTGGCCCTCTTGAGCTCCTAAGGAAGACGTTTCATACCTTAGGCTTTTGATAGGATTTTATACTATCAAATCCCTCACTACAAATTTCTGGGAAACTCAGAAAATTCTTTCCCCCAAGTTGCTGAAAAGGCAAGCTTACAGGGAGGTGCCTTGCAGTTGGACTGGCATTTGGGATCCTTATTCTGAAAGACAGTGTTACTTCCTCACAGTTTCCCCCCTTCCTCAACACCCCATCCTCCATAAACCTTATGCTCAACACCAACCTCTGGCCATTTGACAAGACAGGAGAGGTATATGGCCTATAAGCAATTCACCAGTAATTCTAGGGAATAAAGCAGCACATGGAGCTAGTGAGAGATTAACTATCACTGAAAGGATCAAATCTGGTTCAAACTGATAGCAACTGAAGGTGCTGACAGACATGCAGGCCCCTGCTGTAACTCATGGTGCTTTACATAAAGCGCCATGGGTTAGAGTGGTCCCCTTGACCCAAGAGATGTTTGAGGGGAAAGTGAGCTCCACTTTGGAGCTGATCGAGCCCAAGGAGCCTGCCTGCAGCCTCTCTCCCCTAGCCCCCCTCCTCCCCAGCTCCAGTGCTGTCTGCAGTGAGGGGAGGGGGGGAGAAGGGATGGAGAGTGAGCTGCGGGCTGGGATTTGCCTTACCTGAGCTGGAGGGAAGGGCAGCTGGGGGGAGGGGTGCACGAAGGGGGGACTCCAATCCACCCACCTCCCTCTCCAGCTCAGGCTGGACAAACCCCAATCCACAGCTTGCTCCCCTCCCCTCTCCCCCTTCCCTTCCTGCAGACAGCACTAAGGGTGGGGCTGCATTATGTGACAGATTGACCCTAGGGAACAGAAGTTCCCTAAAGCACTCTAAAGTGGAACATCTTCATCTGATCCCTCGTTTGATGAGGGTTAATTTGTTATGTGATTGACCACTTTTAGAGTGCTCTGCAGCCGTGCATGTGTCATGGCATGGCTGTAGAGTGCTTTCACCGGGCTGATCGTGCAACAAATGTCACTTCTGTCTGCATCCTGAATGGCAAGCAACACATAGCTCTCAGTTGTAATGTGTGTGAAATGAACAGGATTGAGGATCCTTGTGGCCTAGTAAACCCATCTTTCTTGTAACAACTGCCCAACTTGGGTGCAGTACTAGAAAGGAAACCAAGAACACCTTTCCTCTCTGCAACTGAAGCAAATTGTGGCTGTACTTATGGGGAAAGCTAGCACTAACAGTGTCAGTGCTGTGACAATTATGGGGGCAGAATTCTCAGTTGCAACAGAAACCAAATCTATGGGTCAGCTGAGAGTATGGTTGAAAAAAAAAGAAAAAAACGAGATAGAATCAAGTTTATTTTTAAAGTAGAAAAACCAGAAAACCTCTGTGGCACCTTAGCTGGGAGCCATTACCAGGTCCAGTAGAGAACTTGTCACCTGTCCAGTTCTGCCTGGCTGCTTTGACCCCAGAAAAGAATAGTGCTGGATCACAGAGCAGCCAAATGCCATGTGTCCTAACGTTGCCAACACACAGTACTGCACAGTCTGTTATGCTATAAAAAATGGTATGGAGCCTTACCTGCTAATGTGGTCTCATCAGAAGGAAGATGTTTCAGATGTCATTGTGCAGAACTGGAACATTGTTGTCTTTGTGCTCATTTTGGTTTCATCTTCTGTTGCTGTTGGCTGACTAGTACCATTGTAAGAACTCCGCACATGTTCACAGGCTAAAAGAAAGAGAAGAATCCTTATTAAGCACTTGGATTTCCAGTATGCTCCATTGTGCTAAGTCCAAATGCTTCCTTCAGCAAAGTTCCGTTCTTTTTTAACATGGTTGAACATAACAGCTGCCATTTACTGAGTCAGACCTTATGTCCATTTAATCCAGGGTCCTGTCTCACAGAGTGACAGAGCGTAGATACTGAAGGCAGAAAGTAAACAGTGGGTACATCTACATGTGTAAATAATGCAGGAGCAATTTACTCTCAGCTAAACTACTCAAGAGTAAACTCTCTCAGGTACATATCTACACATGCAGGGATGCAGAAGCAGATTTTCTGCTCCTAGGAGCAGACTGCTTCCACTTTGTACAGCCCTGTAATGGGCACCTGCAGCAGCCAGGGGGTGGTCCAGGCTCTCCTGGCAGGGGCTAGGACATTGCTCCCTGCCCCTGGGAGCTGCCTGCTGCTGGGGTGGGCTCTGCCACTGGAGACTAGGCAGGGACAATGTCCCCCTGTCCCAGCAGCCTAGAGTTCCCAGCCACTGCTCCACAATTATGGGGTCCAGGCTGGGAGATCCTTCATGGGGCTGGCACTGGGAGACCTTTATCTCTTAGCCTGAGCTCCATGGGGGCAGGGGGGGAGAGATTTGCTCCCTGCCCCCAGAAGCTGCCAGCTGCTGGGCCAGGCTCTGCCAACACAGCCTGGGTGGGAATACTATCCGTTACCCCAGCAGCAGGGAGCTCCCAGCCCCTACTCTGCAATCATGGGGCAGGGCTGGGAGATCCTTATTTCCCAGCGCCGGCTCCATGGTTGCGGGGCCAGCGCTGGGAGATCCTTCTCTCTCAGCCCCAGCCCCAGCCCCAAGATCATGGATTAGGGGCTGGTAGTGAAGAATCTCCCAGTGCTGGCCCCATGACCACAGGACTCAGGCGAAGAGATCCTTCTTTCCCAGCCCCAGCCCTGCGATCTTGGAGGATCTTGGACCCATGACCATGGAGCTGGCGTTGGGAGAGAAGGATCTCCCAGCCTAGGCCCCATGACTGTGGGACTCAGGGTGGGAGATAAGGGTGGCCCCATGATTGCGGAGAAGGGGCTGGGAGCTCCCTGCTGTTGGGATAGGGGGATATTGTTCCCACCCAGGCTCTGGTGGTGCCCCAGCAGCAGACAGCTTCTGGGGGCAGGGAGCAAATCTCCTGCCCCCTGCTGCCCAGCTGACTGGGAGCATATTTGCTCCCGGTCAGGCATCTACATGCGCAGTACGTAACCTCAAATAAATCTGCTACTTGCATTTGCAGGTAGCAAATTTACTCATGATTAGAACCAACTACTGCACAGTAAGCATCTCCACATGTAGACATGAATGCTTACTGCGCAATAAAGTGCAAAATAGCATCATTCTACTTTGCAGATGTGCTGCCTGTATGTATTATGATGAACCTAGACTTGACCAAAGGCAAGGTAGGGTGGCACCCCGGAGACTAACTGGTCCAGTCATAGGCTTTCCTAAGAGACAGCTTATTTCATCAGATGCTAAACCTGGGCCTGAGGCCAGTCTCCTGCTACCACAGGCAACCATACCACATGGTCCCTTTCAGAAGCTGATCAACCTCCAGTTGAAAACCAGTTTGGTGGCCTGGTCCCAGCACTCTGACTGGAGAGCTTGCCAGGAACCTTGTTGCTCAGCCTACATTTATTCAAGTTTTAAGCCTAGTCAGAACTTTGCCATGAAGCCTTGCTTATGGGTCACAGGGTCCTGGGAGGAAAATAGCTCAGCTACCCTCAGAGCTCAGGCTGATTTTGCAGGGGACCAGCAGATAGGAAACAACCAAATCCTTTTACTTGCAAATAGAGCTCATTTAAAATTAGAAGCAGGAGCAGTGGAAGGCCCAAGCAAAAAACTACCTCTTCCACAGGGGGTGCCACTGCCTGTCCCACCGGGGGCTGTCACAGCTACCTATGAACACTTAAGGCACTGCGACTAGTCCATTTGAGACCAGCTGTTGAGGGACTCTTGACTCCAAAACTCTCTATCTCTGTGACCCAACAAACCTTAGTAGGGTAATCTTTAGAAAACACTATAGGGTCCACCTATCCCCACTCCAGAGCTACATTTTCACAGCTCTTCATAGTGCCTAATGATGCAGATTAGCATCTGCTCCTATTGGCTTTCCAACAGCAGTCAGGTGCCTAACCAGTTTAGTACTTTTGTAAACCCCACACAATGCATCTTTAGTTGCCTAGATCCACACAGGGACTTAGTCACTGGAAAAGACCCCTGGAGTCCATAGGAATACATGGAGTACATAGGAGTACCCTGGAGTGCACAGGCTTCCAATGCTGATGTTCCTGGGCACCTACAGGTCTCCTTCCAGGCATGCCCAAAAGTACCTCAGTCTTGACCATGCTGACCAGCTCTGTGCATTGCTCATGCCCACTGAGACTCACACCACTAGACACATGTTTATATATTTTACCTGAGGCGCTTCTCAGGGGTAGGTGTTCTCAGAGCATTGACTTCTTCAGTTGAAACAGAGAAATACTGAGCGTGGCACAGACTAGAATTCATGTCCTCTGCAAAAGGGAGTGCTTTCATAGATTTCCTAGACACTAGGGCTGGAAGGGACCTCGCAAGTTCATTGGGCCCAGCCCCCTGCCCCAGGGGCAGGAAGTCAGTAGGGGTCAATTGATCCCAGCAAGATAAACATCAAAATGTTTTTTGAGAGTTAACTGCTAGGCTAAACAGTGGGAATCCTTTCTTTTTGCACTCTTTCTTTGCCCCTCCCAAAATATTTAAGTATATATAGAAATTGGAACATCTCCCATCCCAGAATAGTGTCTAGCTTGGCGGTTAGGGCTTTTCCTGAGGGATGGAGGACATGCATTGAACCCACTCAGGCCTAGGAGGCAACTAAGCCTAGGTCTTACACTACCTGACAAAAATGGGAGCTTCATTACCTTCTCTGGCCATGTTCTGACAGAAAAGATCCATTCTACCTTAGCTTCTAAAAGAAAGGACTTTGCACTCAAATCCTGTAGACAGTTACATGTGCTCACGTGTCTGAGAAGTCATCTTAAGAAACACCTCTGTCCTTGGCATTCTGCATGCGCTAGCCATCCTGGGGTGCTGTGAATTCCACTGGCAATTTAGATGCCTAAGTGTTAGGCTTTACCTGGCTTAAGTCCCCCTTCGTGGATCTAGCCCTAATTACCTTTGTAACACTGGCCTCAAGGCTTTCCTGAGGAAGACAAGGGAGGTGCAAATAGGATTTGGTTGTGGAGAAGTCTGTTTGACACAGCAGGTTCTCAACTGCGTTTTGAAACTTGGTATTGCACAGCACATTCACCCTGGCAAAGGTTCATCTTTATCCATTGCAAGGCAGAATAATGGGCATGAACCAGCCTCTCCAGATCTAAACAGTCTCTAGGAGTTCTGATCTGGTGCCAAACTTCCTTCCTTCTAGCACTCCTGCCCCCATAGCAAATGAAAGGACAATCTAGGATCTGGAGAGCCGCTAGAATTTAGGCAAACCCTACTCTCTGAGATATGGATATATGCTCTGTGATAAGGAAAACAAGAAAAAGGAGTGCAGAAAACAGTATATTTGACCATTTCTCCTGAATATACTTCTCAAAACAAGGAAATATACTTACCAGGACATCTGAAGTACCTCACCAGCAAAATAATGGCCACAAAGAAAATACATAGGACTGTAATTGAAGCAATAATAACATCATGAGATGATGGTTCCTCCTTAAATGATTCACAGTTGTCTGGTTTTGCTGAGAAGGAAAGAACAGAAACACAACAATAAGGTCCTTCATTATGGTATCACTACTGGGTACATGAGTCCTGTGATTGCTTTGGTCAGATTCTTCCAACTGTTCTGCCGGCAGTATGATTACTTCCAGCATATTGTCCATCTTTATGTTCCAGGCAGGATATGCTCCCCACTATTTTTTCCTGGGAGTTTCTTCTCCCTTATTCTGTGCAGTACAGAGTGGATCACTTTTCTGCATGACTGTCTTCTGGAAAGTCCATCTAATTAATGACAGTCTCTAAGGGATAGATTCTAAGATCCTTGGTTGAGCTGAATGTTATATGCATAACAAATTCCAGTGCTTTCAGTGGGACTATTTAATACGTAGGGTACTATTCACCAGAAATAAGAGGAATAATTCTCTCTCTCTAACTTCCTTTGAGGATGTCCTGATCTGCATGGTCAGAAAACTGGGCCTAGAGACTTGTTTTAAAACAACACCCTTATAATTCTTTTGATCCCTGGCTTTAGCCATCCCTTTTCATACTCCTTTCAAGCATGAAACATTCACACTGGGATGGCTGCCCCTCTCACTCTTCACACTGCCTTGCTTTGTATGTCTCCACCTGTGCCTCACGACTGTAAGTCTTTCAGGGTACAAAACTATGTGTTATCTGATCACTCACTTTTTACCACGCTGTGCACAGTTATGGTACCTCATTATCTAAACAAAAGCAGAATTTCTTTCTGATTCTAGCTGGCAATAGTAAACCCTGAAGCAGGAATGAGAGCACTTGCAAGTTTTATGTTGGAAAGGATACTAAATACTTATAAGAATAAGTATTGTCTGCTTTCAGAGATAGGCCCTTCAGCACGTCCCACAGGTTAATTATCTACCACACGTCACTGATAGGAAAAAAAGAAGAAAAACTTACTCAGAGGGTATTCTCCAGATACGGTCCTGTCACTGTACTCAATGGAACACGTGAGATTCATATTTTCAGTCACATTGAACCGTGCCATGCCAGTAACATTATAGAGGCTGGTTTTGGCATCAGATGTTAAGCTGGTGTTCCAATCCACGGACACGTTATTGAAGAATCCAGAGACTTTGGGCTTTGGAAAGCCCCCATAAGAAGAGCAGCTCACCACCACCTCACTTGATTCACAATCTGATGGCTTTTTGAGTGATATAGCTGGCTGGCTGAACTCAGCTAGAGCAAAGGTAGTGAGAGAGCTTTAGTTGTCATTCTGTCAAATGAGGCACAAAACTTCAGGCCTGACAGCCTGCCATCATGAGACATCCCATGCCACTCCTTGTAGGAACTCCTTCAAATGCTTCCTGGGTAACTATATCCCCCCTTTTCTAGCCTCTTTGAATTCCCTCTGCACTTTCAGCTGGAGATGGCATTCTCATATTTGCTTTCAGTTTCTACCCTGTCTGCTGTAGGGCAGTAGGGCAAAGTACTATTTAACTATCTGCCATGTTAAATGATAGTTCTTTCTATCTATTGCTATATGGTAACCTGTGATGCTCTTCCGGGAGGTCCTGTTGCTCTGCAATCACACAGTGCTTGGCATGATGAAGCCCTCATTTTTACAAGTTTGGTGGTTATTAATATTCTGTTGTACAGATGTGTACAAGACAGAAAACATTGTGTGTGAATGACAAAATACAAAGTTTTTTTGCTATGGAGCACAAACTGTGTCCCCTACACTTTTCACCTCTTCCAATAAGTCTCAACCCTACGCAGGCAGATCCATCTCTAGTGGACAGAGGGGCAAGCTGTTAGACTCTAGTGTTTTCTGTAGACCGGCTTTGCCACTGTGATCATCAGCAAGGGAACCAGTGAAACTGTCATACCTATAGACCCCGACTGAGATGAGGGCTCCATTATGCCAGGCACTGTACGAATGCAGAGCAGCAGACAGTTCCTGCCCCCAAAGACTATAGACTCTAAGCAGAGGAGACAGACAAAGGTTGGGATGAAAGGGCAGCATGAAAGGGTGAAATAAGGGTTGCATAACAAGACAAGGGTAGAAGTAAGAGGAAATCCTATGTCTCCCAGGTCTTAATATTGTATTCAATCTACTGTGGTGGTTTTGGTGAATCATGTTGAAACCAGAAGTTGGACTAAAAGTCCTGGCTCACTTCACACAGGGTCAGTGAACTGTCATCATCTGGTAGCAACTTCCAGCCACCTTGTCTTAGACCTGTGGTCTTGGACTGAAAGCCTCTGTCCCACTCTCAGTCCATTCAGCAGTAGACCCCCTCCTCTGTCCTTCAGGTTGTTGCAATCTCTCCTACCTATTCTCCTGGCCCTACCAGAACAAGGAGATGATAGAAAAGAAGGAGACTACAATGTTTGTTCCCCACCCTGTGACCAACTGTATCTCATTCCCAAAGGGATGACAAATCAGCTGTATAGAGAATCTTGCTCTCCAAAGCTGTGTGTGAAAAAAAATTGAAAAAAAGAAGAAAAAAAAAAGAAAGGGAATGTTTTGGGAATACAGCTCTATTTAACAAAGTATGTTCTCTGGTCACCTCAGATCTCACTGATCGGGAAAGGGGAGATTCCTTGTAGGGATTCATGAACACCAGGGATTGTTTGAATCCTGATTCCACATGCCTACAAGCACTAACAGGCTGACGGAAGACTGGGACTAACGGTGCTAAAACCTCACAAGACTGGGAAGCTGGATGAAGGTACTTGTGAGCATTTCCAGTGCTTATCCAGTGGCCTACAGAAGGCTTTCCTGGAAGATCTTCTACTCCCAGGCAGACACAAAAAGACCAGTGTTGCTGCTTTTGGCTGAAAACAAACCATCACACAGACAGCCGTACTAATGGAAAATTATGTGACTGGAACTTTTTCTAACCTCCAAGATTCAGATTCGTTTTGAGCAAAGGGACCTATGGTGTTTCTTAGTGTCATGAACTGGTTCTCTCTAGCTGATTAACCTCAAGACACTCTGATGTCTCAGACCTTGAGTCCTGACCAGTCTCCTAGAAGGCTGTGAGAATCTCTGGGGAGTTTGTGGTTCAACAAGAAAAGCAGCAGAGGGGTGGTCCCAACCTCATCTTTCTTCCCCAGCAGAGAAGACTTTCTCTATTATAAGAGACTTACCCCACTTCCCTATGCTTCTGGATCCTGCCCTCTGCTTCCCCTGGGAAAAAGGCAGAAGCCTAGTTATCTAGGAATGCATACAAATGATTCAACTCACTGGACTGGATCCTACAATATACATCTCCCTGAAGAGATGATTAGAACGGCAGGGAATGCGGGCATGAGGGAGGAGAGACCCACTCTTAGTGCCAGAGGCAAGCATGAAAAAACAAGGAGGGCAGGAGTAACAGATGGGGAGGGCAGAGACAGAAGCAGGATTGACTCTAACTCTCACCTTAGCCTTCTAATAGTAAGCCCCACCATGCCAAGGCTCCTGGAGGTCAACTGGGTCTGACCAACCATTCTAATCCAGTGTTTCTCAACCTTTTTTTTTTTTAAGATTCAAGGTCCCCCCCACACTTGATAGATTTGAGGCACCCAAAAGGCTCAAGGCCCCTCAGAAAGTGCCAGCTGTTATTTGTCACTCTTTTGAGTGCAGAAAAATAACAGAAATTCTCCCATTGCAAAGAACTCAGAAGGATTATGACAGGTCAGAATGCTTTTAACACTAAAGATTCCTATCTGAAATCACTGGGTTTATCTTATGAATCATGTCTGCACACTTAACAGTGCTAACATTGTGTGGCACCCCACAGCACCCTTGAAAGGGTCTCAACCTCAGTGATGCTCCTAGCTGTGTACCTTGAACCTTAAGCCTTGGCATTTTAATTAAAAGCTCTAAGTGACTTGAGACACACTACTTACCTATAACTGAAAGAGTCACAGTCTGGTCGCAGAGCTTGACAGATCCTGCACGTTGAACTATGCACGCATAGCTTCCTGCATCTGAAATTTCCACTTGGGTGATTGACAGAGCAAAGGTTCTTTGGTTCAGACTGGAACGGTTAAGGGGATTTGGGAGCCAAGTCCCAAACGAATAAGCGATCACTACTTCTGTGACATTCTTTTGCCAGTAGACACGGTAGTTACTTGGGGTGTCTTCACTGGGTGTTTCATAGCAGCAGGGTAGGGTTACTTCTTCTCCCATTTTGGCGATGGCTACCTGTGTCTTGTGAGCAAAGCCTGAGAAAAGGCAAACAGCAACTATGAGACAGTCGGACTTTGGTAAACCCATTCTTCCACCTAGAACTCCACCACTCCTCTATTACAACTCTGTCTGCTCCCCACAGCGCATCTCAGCCTTCTCCAGTGCAGTCCAGAGGCTACTAAAAACTTGTGGAAGAGACCTAATCCTGCCACTGTGTTTTTGTGCTGCTCTGGTCCCATTTGTGGATCTAGCTGATACATAATGGCCATTTTTTCCTACATTTTTTCTTCTATTGCACATAGGTACTACAGGCACTTTTTTGTAAGGTGAAAAAACTCTCCAACAACATCCCATAAAAAACCCTACAATAACAAACCCAGCCACACAACCAAACATTTGTGGGAAGGCCTCCGAGAACAATCCAAGTGACCCAGCCTAGAGCTCAGGAAAAAATCCCAGGAAATCTCTCTCTGCAGCCTGGATGTTATGATGAGGGACTTTACTCAAACCAGAGTTCCCAAGGAACCAGCTGGTAAGAAGCCAGTGTCATAACATTCCTGTGATAACAAGCATTTGAGATGAAAGAGAAGAAAATAACTCAGACCTGGCCTGAAGGGATTCCCCTGCTCTGTAATATCCCCCACGGCACTATATTCCTAGGCTTGAACACACGCAGTGATATCACAGCTCCTCTACTCCCCTTCTTCTACTGTTCCTCAGCTCACACAGTAAGGGGCAGAAAGCAGGTGCCTGAGTGGTGACATGTCACAAAAGGAATGGCTTTGTGGTTAAAACAAGGTTGGGCAGTTCCATGCATGCCTCTGTCTCGAGTTTCCAGGTAGTTTGAACTAATGCCTGTCCTCGTTCCTTCTTCTGCACAATGCAGAATATTGATGCTGCTGATGTCAAATAATCATATTTGTATGCTCTTAAATTAGGGGCGGGCAATTATTTTGGGCGGAGGGCCGCTTACTGAGTTTTGGCAAGCCAGCAAGGGCTGCATGACAGGC